GAAAAAAGTTTAACATCAGTTCTTGATTAAAATTTAGCATGATTAACGTTCGTACTGGGTGTGGGTGTGAGTGTTAGTATGGGTGCGTGACCATTATTCTGGTCCACACTCACACTTCTGACAGGCAATCTCAAGGGGGTAAGTGCTGGCACCCAGCACTGAAAAGTGCTGAGCAGGTGCTGAGGTGCTGGGCAGGTGCTGAGGTGCTGAAAAGGTGCTGAGGTGCTGAGCAGGCACTGAGTGGGTGCTCAGGTGCTGAGTAGGTGCTGAGCAGGTGCTCAGGTGCTGAATAGGTGCTCAGGTGCTGAATAGGTGCTGAGCGGGTGCTAAAGTGTTGAGATGCTAATGAATTTTTTTAGGATACTACATAAATTGAACCATAATATTGTGATTGATTAAGAGCGCTCTCTATCAGATTTATTATCGTACTTTAATACTACCGAACTTTTCAAGTATCCAATCAGAAATTTATCCATTTTACAACACTGTCTAATTCTAATTCAATTTTCTTACTGAGAAGAAGCTTATTTTTGTACTGTTTTTCTGACATCTAAAAAAGAGACGAAGTTCCGTTAAATATCTTTCAATTACTTTAAGAATTCTTATTTGTTCCATGGGGTGAAATGCTTTTTTTCATATTGTTTAAAGATGACATTTTGTCGGTAACATAACAGTATTCTTGTTCTTCCCTTGATATTTTTTTATGATAAAGTTATTTATTTAAGATAATAATTTTAGTTAATGTCGTCATCAGCATTATCGAGAAATATAAATCAAAATGGTTTACCAGATGATATTTTCAACTACAATAATGAACAATTTTATGATTATATTAAACAATCATATGGCGATGATCTTGCTGGTTTACTTCGTTTTCAAGCCATTAGAAATGGATCACATCTGGTTGAAACATCATGCGAAGATATCTTATTAATTTTCCAACAAGAATCCGAAGAAATTAACAAGCTGCGGCACTTATGTTGTTTCAAAATTAGTAATAACAAATATGAAATTAAGTTGGGCGTTAAACTTGCAATTAATAATCTGATTGAGTTATTGAAGGTGAAGCAAGAAGAACAGAAGAAGAAAAAGAAACAAACTTCAACTAAACGTACATCATCCAATATCGATACATTAAAATCTGTTGATCAATTTCAATCACACAATGAAATGATTGCACCACCAACAATAGCTGCTTCACCAGATAGTGATACATCATCAACACAATTAGCATTACAATTAATACAAAATCGTTTAAATGACATTGATCATTTAACAGATATTGAACAACGGATAAATAAATGGTGGCGTACACATAATAATAATAATAATTTATTCTTATCTGAAGGCACACATTATCTTTTGGAAATTAATAAATCTATAAATGACACATATGCGTGTATTTTATCTTGTAAATGTCGTATTCGATTCAAGTTGCCATTTATGGCAACAGGTTTCTTTAAATTATCAGCATATTACCGACACTTAAAGGAAAAACCATGCTTAACAATGTCAAAAACTGTGAGTATGTCTTGTGTTAAAGATAAAATTTCTATGAATTTTTATACATCTAGACACGTAAAAAATATAATAATTCAATAAATAATGAAAATTCTGCAAATCAATCAAATATTTCTTCAAAACGAACTTGGTCACCATCAAGAGAAACAACTTCGAACACAAAAGAAAATGTCTTAAAAAAGAGTAAATCATCATCATCATCGTCATCATCAAATAATAAACATATTGATCAAGATTAAAAAATGAATGATGGTTCCCATAATTCTTATCGAAATCTATATTGTTTTTTTTTTACTTCGACATATGAAAGCATCATAGAAATTTTTTTATTTATTGTATATGAATTCGTTAACTTCTCTTAAATTATATGAACTTAATGGTTTAATAAAAAGAATATGTATCGTTTTTTTTGTATTTACTAGGAAGTTATTTATATTTGTAGCTGATTGATTTAGAATAAAAAATTATTGATTTTATATTGAACAGATTCCTTATATGCTTTCAGAAAGATTTGTTATTTATATATAGTTACTTTTTCTCATAATAGTATTTTACTACAACGAATAATATTTATATTTCTTCGACAGTAATTATGAATATTTTACAACTTAACGAATTAACAGATGAGATGATGAATTTAAGTCTTAATAATTTTTATAATTTTATTGAAATTGCATTAAATAAAGATTTATGTGAACTTTTTCAAGTTCAAGCAATTCGAGAAATGTCATCGTTATCATCTGCAACAATAGATCAATTGACACAAGTATTCACTTTCGAAATCGATGAGTTAAAAGGTTTAAAAAAATCACTTGGTTTCACGACAAGTGATGGAAATTTTCATCTTCGACTTGGTCATCGAAAGTTATTAGAACATTTATTATCTTTAGTACAAGCAAAAAAAACTTTGTCTGTGAAGAATCGTGAATTATCAAATAATTTTATAGAAAATGATACAGATAAAAAGTTAATCGAGTTGTTAAAACATCGGACATCTAATTTATCCGACGGACATAGTGTTTCTATTCTTATTCCATGGATTATAAATATTTTTCAAAATTTAAAAACAACAAAAAATAAATATAGTTATGACATACATATTCAACAATTTGCATTATTAATATATATTCTTGGAGGTAGAAATTGTTATGAATTTCTTCGCTTAAATCTATCCGGATCATTACCTCACATTTCAAATGTGGAATCATTGATAAGAAATCAAGAAATGAGAATGATTGAAAGCGAATTTCGATTTCAATTAATAAAAGAATATTTAAAATCGAATAAATCTAATTATGTATTTATAGCTGAAGATGCTACTAGTTCAATATGTCGTATAGATTACGATGCAACATCTAATTCATTTATTGGTTTCTCTTCACCTTTAATTAATGGAGTACCACAGCCGAATTTTTTTCAGACAGAAAATTTCGAGCAATTAGAATTATGGTTTAATGAAATAGATAAAGCGAAGTTTATTAATCTTTATATGCTAAAATCTTTAGTATTATCTGATCCACCATTTATTTTGGCAGCTTATGGATCTAATAATAAAGCTAAAGCAATTGAAATCTTAAAAAGGTGGTTATTCATTTATCATCAATGTTTAATCCAAGATATACATGTTATAGGTTTTAGTACTGATGCTGATTCACGTTTTCTCAGGGCAATGAGGTTATGTTCTCGTTTTTTTGCAACATTACCAAATTTTAATATATCTAAATATAAAGATATATTTCATATAGAAATACCAAAACAATGGTCTTGGTTTTTCATGGAAGAGCAACAAATTCTTTTTTTATGCAAGATGGTATTCATATTGCCACAAAATTTAGAAATAGATTGCTTTCTGAAAAAGCACATATGAAAATAGGATCTTATTCAATTGATATTCAGGATGTATTTGATTTAATTGAATATGAAAGTAAAATAGAGCACAATTTAATTAAATGTGACGTCGATCCCAAAGATCGTCAGAATTTTGCATCATGCTTAAGAATATCTTCTAAAGATGTGTTAAATTTACTAGAGAAAAATGAAAAAGCTACAGGAACATATGTATACTTATCTTTATTACGATCAATAATTGCTGGATTTATTGAAAGATCAACAACAATCGAAGAACGATTATTTCACATATGGACTGTCGTTTTTACGTGTAGATTTTGGTTTTCATGGATACAATATTTAGAATTAGAAAATGATAATAATAATTCAGAAACTCTATCAGATTTGAAAAAAAATACTTTTATCACCAAGCCAACTTTTTGGTGCATTGAAATTAATGCTCATACATTACTTTTTATAATACTTTTAGTTGTCAAAAACAAATTACCTGTTGATGCACTTAATACATTTGCTTTCAATTCACAGATATGTGAAAATACTTTCAGGATCGCTAGATCATTATCAGGTTCATTTTCTTCAAATACAAATTTTAGTGTAAAATCATTTTTAAAGAGATGCGAAAAAATATCGATTATCAACTCAATTAAAAATCGTGGTGGACAAGTAGGAGATTACCAGTTTTATTTTCCACAACATCATAAAAATCATAAAGAAACATATAATTATTCAATAGATCATATTAATGAATTGAATTTAACAGAGATTGATATTGAAATTATAATCAAACATGCATTTCAAGAAGCTAAAAAGTATGTTTCAATGGTTAATATGACTCAATTTTTGAAAACAAAAAATATACATACATTATCAAGTTTAAGTACATTTACAAGAACAATTTTAAATAGATCATCATCAAAAATTATTGATTATACAATTGATAATAATAGTTCGGATGAAGATTCTGATGAAGAGAATTTATATAGTGCAAATAGTATTTCGGATGTGTTGAATAATGAAGATCAATTCTCACCAAATAGTACTGATGACGAAGAGGAAGGAAATGTAATAGCAATTGATGTTCCTCATACAGCACAAAAAAAATTCAATGGTTGTCGTATATACGACAAAATCAATCCACAACAGTCAAAAAAATATTTTCGTATACGTATTGGTTCATCATATAAATTTATACACAAGCAAACAGCTTGCTGGTTGCTTACAACAGATAAACAACGACTCTCAAGTGATCGTTTAATTCGCGTTCGAAAATAAGAAATAAAATGGAATAAATTTTGTTTGAAATTGTTTTTCTCATTTTGTTTTCCATATTTTTCGTAATGTAGCGTTTCATCTTGCGATTTTTCATACAATTTTCCATGTTGTTCTTCATACAATTTTTTATGTTATAGAATATTTTTGACATTTGCTTTATGAAATTTTAATATTTCCATATAGCGATTGTCAGAGAAGCAAAGTTTCTTCAATATCATTGAGAATAAATAGACCTTTTGTGAATCATTTGCACATTACTGAATATAGTTTAAGGGTCAAAGAGTGTTGAAATGATATTGGAAAAGTGCTATGATATTGTCAATCATAAACCAGTATTTTTCTGTAGCAAAACAATCGAATCTGAATTAATATTTATGTTCTAACTTTCTAAGCTTCACAGCACCCACAAGTGCTGAGCAGGTGCTGAGGTGCTGAAAAGGTGCTGAGCAGGTGCTGAGGTGCTGAGCAGGTGCTGAGGTGCTGAAAAGGTGCTAAGCAGGTGCTGAGGTGTCAGAGTGCTGGGTGCCAGCAGTTTCCCCCTTGGGCAATCTTCGTCAACTACACCTGACGATGAAATAGAAATTAAAACTGATTTTGATGGCATCAAACGTAAATGATGACAATGGTCCGTTGCTGAAAAAA